GATTAACAATAACTGGTTAAATTTTTAACGATTGACATGTCTTAATACTCAGTTTCTGAAAAAAATGACAAGGCTACAAAGATATGTGTGAGAGCATAAATGACGTAATGCCACAATCTGATCAGACCACTTCATCTAATGCAAGTGTTTAGTGCAACTATGTGTAAGACTTCAAAAGAAAAAAGGATGATATTTCACCATCCTGGTTGCCAGCTAACCCTAATTTACACCGAAGCACCATAGCTGGAAGTTACAAAGTTAGAAATATTTTTAAACGGACATCTGCCTAAGGGAGTGCTCTAGACAGCACTGCATCCAAAAAAGAGCCAGATGTCTGCAAAACCCACGATAGCTGCAAATAAATAAATGAACAGATGTGTTACCAAAAGCATCTTCCAGCAATACGGAGAAGAATGTTTCATGCTGATATTTTCATAAGTTAAAATAACTGCCTAAAATTAAACTTTAAGCATCTGTTTTCTCTGCAAACATCTTATTCTAATCCGTCTTGCTGGAGTGCATTTATGATCGCACCGGAGAATAAAGCAGAGAAACACATTAAGAAGTGCTTTCTAATATCTTGAAATGATAATGCTGAGCTAATAAAAACAAGCAGAGAAGCTGCCTGGCTTTGTGATATTAACGTTGTGCACATTCTTGGCCAGAGACAAAGAATAATCAGTTTAGCAGCATAAGAAGTCTGCCACTTTTTCTGACCTCGAGACAGCAGAGCCTGAAATAATTCTTGCGGCAAATAATTAGTTTTATCACACAATGACATGGGTAACCCGTAAGAGCTCGATTATAACAAGAGAACAATATAAGAAAATGTGTGGTTCAGCGAAGCTCTCAAAGGGGATTGCTTCTTCATATCTTGTCAAATTCCTGATGACATTTCATATGACTGCAAACCAGAAACAATCCTTTCCCGTATGAGCCGCCGCTGCCTCGGAGAGTCATTATGTTGAGAGCTGAAATTCCACACCACAACGCTTTAGTCTTGACTCTGAGTGCGCTGTCTTTCCTGACACTTAGCAGAAGGCAGGAAGAGACAGAAATCAGATTTGAAAATCGATGCTGTCCGTTGGATTTTGTTTGACTAATATATGCAAAAGGAATACAAACATGAATGGTAAATATAGAAGAAGACATTATGAGCTGCATTGTTTTCTATTAATCTTCACCTCTAATTGATTGACAGTACATATTTGACGTTGTATAATTCATTACGCTTCCCATTACGCTGTTCTCTTAATGGAACTACACAATGTGGCTGCCAAAAGGAAATGGTGTGGCACACTGCACATTTTGCGTTTTTATTTACTTTGACTCCAATCTGTACCATATCGACCATATGTTAAATACCATAGCCTACTATTTGTTATTCCAATTACATTCAGTGCACTGTATTTTTTAGCTCTGCCTGATGGATTTGCACCCGTATGATGTTTGCAGTGCGCTGCTGCCTACCGGACTCGGAATTTGCATTATAATGATTCAGAACACAGATGCATTTTTAATGCTCTGAAACAACAACAGTGTACTGTCTTGTTGTATGCACAAATTAGGTTCTCCACATTTAAATGCAGGTCTGGTTACAGCATTTGCAAGCTCGGCTTTGCATGAAAATGCTCGTGTATTTTTATGTAATTATAATGATTTTTTTTTTCTTTTTAGCAAAAACTCAAAGGCAGATAAGCTGAGGGAACTCGGAGGTCAAAGGCAGGAGAGCATTTCATTGATTGTTTTTGTAGCTGTGTTAAAAAAAAAAATGTCTGTATGTCTGTTTTTCTTTGAGAAAAAAAAAATACACTTATGTGCCAGTTATTACAATAAAGAAAACCTAATGTCCTGGTGCGGATTATTGTCAAATGATCTATGTCACTGTTTTACTAAAAATGAATTGAATAAATATGTTATATCAGATAACAAAGAAAGTGCATTGTGCAAAACATTTATTTTTATGTTACTATATGAGTTGTTTACATTTTGACATTTTTTAATTATTATATGTTTATGTTACTATATGAGTTGTTTACATTTTGACATTTTATTATTATTATTATTATTATATGTTTATGTTACTATATGAGTTGTTTACATTTTGACATTATTTAATTATTATATGTTTATGTTACTATATGGGTTTTTTACATTTTGACATTTTATTATTATTATTATTATTATTATATGTTTATGTTATTATATGAGTTGTTTACATTTGGACATTTTATTATTATTATATTTTTATGTTACTATATGAGTTGTTTACATTTTGACAAACTTATTTTTACTTCTTACAAAATGAATATGGCTTTTTAAAGTGATTATTTTCAAGTTTGAACAATATGTTACACAATTAGAAACCCAAAAAATATTGGACTAATTGGAAACTCAAATTACTCTAGGTGTGTGAGAGAGAGTGTGAGTGGTTGTTTGTCTTGTTTGTCTCTATGTGTCCCTGTGATGGACTGGAGACCTGTCCAGGGTGTCTCCCGCCTCTCACACAGTGATAGCTGGATATGTGCACCAGTGACCCCCACAACCGAAAAGGAAGAAACGTGTAAAGGTAATGGATGGATGAAAGGAAAATAATAAAAATAATAATGATAGTTGTTGTTGTTGTTGTATTTTTTTTTTTTTTTTTTACAGTGAGATTTATGTACAGAGTAATTATAATGAAATTATTTTTTACAAGGGTAAAATACATCCATCCATCCATCCATTATCTATATCCACTCCTTCCATTTCAGGATATGGAGATTGCTGAATCCAATGTCTAGATACATATCCAATAGTCACTGTGTGTGAGATGGGGACACCTGGACATGTCTCCAGTCCATCACAGGGACACATACGAGACAAACGAGAAAAACAACCATTCACTCTCTCACGCACACCTAGGGACAATTTAGAGTTACCAATCAGTCTAACATGCATGTTTTTGGTATCTGGGAGGAAACCGGAGTACCCGGAGAAAACCCACGCATTCACGGAAAGAACATGCAAACTCCACCCAGAAAGGCTCCTGGCTGGGAAACTGCAACCTTGCTGAGAGGAAGCAGGTCTACCAACTGTGCCACCATGCTGCCCTTTAATGTAATATGTACATTTCAAATATCAATCAGAAAATATTCTGTTAGACAATGAAAAAGAAAAATTAACATAAAAAAAACTGAATCTATTTTACAACATGATGCAGTTTTTGTTTGATTGTGTATTTGTTTCTTTTTTATTTACTAGCAGTAGCAACACCCTTTTTT